GCTGGTCGCTAGGCAGGCCGCCTAGCGTTTTTTGAAACCTTGGTTTTTAGTATTATCTCAAAATCTATTTTTATATCTAATTATAAAATTTTAAATTTCAAAAATAATTAAAATCAAGTAGATCTATAAACATATGAAAATCTTGAAAATGGATGGTGCAGATAATATGTTTTAAAATGCACTATTTCTGAGACTTAGAATCTTTTTATTTTTCATAATCATACATCTCGACGTCGAGATGATGAATCAAAGGGTTTTTCAACATTAAAACTACCTTTTTCGATGGATTTTTGAGGGGCATTTGTAGTTCTACATTATAAGGTAGCATCCTTGTAAGCTTTTTCCTTTTAAGATATTACAAATTTTCCCCTTTGAGTTTAATAACATGCATGGTGAGAAATAACAGCTAAAAGCATCACCATTGTGAATGAGTACTTCATTTTTGTAAATCAAACTCTATTATATAAATGTTATCATAACTAGTCACTAACTCTGCCATGACAGCTCTAAAGCCGGTCATCCCGGTTCCAAACTCAAGAGTTTCGGCCATCCTGGTTCCAAACTCGAGAGTTTCGGTCATCCCAGTTCCAAACTCGAGAAAGGAGGAGGGTTGTGTTAGTTTGGCAACCAATGTAAAACCTTTGCCACATCTATTTTATATATTTTAATCTAATGTGCTTTTGATATAGTAAAATGGCAAAACAATATTTGTATAGCCAATCCCAAATAGTTAGAATAAGGCTTAGATGATAATGATGAAGGTGATTATAACTAGTCACTAAACTGGTGTGGAGCCCGATCCAATCAAGACTAATTTGATCCACAGTTGAATTTGTTGGATTGAAATTTTTTTAATATTTTTTTTTTTTTCCCAAAATACCTATGAGAGATAAGCATTTAACATAGAAAAAGTATACAACGAGAATGTTTGCCTTTTGTACAAGGTGGTCACAATTAATCTTGACATTTGAATATGGAATTGGGTGGTTGCATTTATTTTATTGACCAAGCGCAAAGTTCAAAAGAAAATTTCTCGAACTTTGTGACCCCTCAAGCTATCAAATTTCACATAAAATGATTATAAGCAATTGTGATCTCCTTGTACAAAAGATAAATGGTCTCATTATATACAATCCCACATATCATATTTGGCCATTTGCAAGTACTCTAAGCCAAGGCAGTCTATTTTTATACAATCCCACTTAACATATTGCCCATTTGCAACTATTCCAAGCCAAGGCTATGTATTTTTATAGGAATTTTGAAATTAAATAAAAAATATGGGTAAAGTCCTAATCACTTATGGGTATTTGATTAATTTCCCATAAAAATCAACAATAATAATAATTTAAATATATTAATATATTGCCAAAGAATTTCCTAACTCGAATTGATTTATTCTCATAAGTCAAAATATTAAATATCAATTTTGACTAATTTTCAACAAAATCTAATTTTTGCTTCTAATCAAAAGGGCCCAGGTATCAATCAGCGGTCTGACCTTCTGATCTTAATAGCAATGGTGCATGTGAAAAGTCTCAGGTTTCTCTGAAGAGACTAAGTGTCCATTAATTGATATGAATATACAATCATGTGTTTTATAGACAAATTACAAATGAGACTAATAGAAACTAAATCACAGACACCTAAACTATACCCAGACTTACCATAAAGTATATAACACAATATCCTACCTTTCCCATATTTACTGATTACAATATACACCTTATATCTTAACCGGATATACAATATATACTTTCCTTTCATACTCCCCGTCAAACTCAAGATGTTATGAGAGAGAGCAGCTAGAGTTTGAATATTGATTGTGGAAACAAGCAGTTAGATCTTTAGGTGTATAGCATGACCACTAGATACAATAGTTGTCATGCTCAAATTGCTTGATCAATAAGCATAGAAAGCAACGACAGATCAACATGCATCAGGAACAGTTGGACTAAGGAACAGAAATTGCAGATGATTTCAAAGAGAAAAACAAATCAGAGAGTTGAAAATGACTCGATAAAGAGATATATCCAAGTGTCGAAACACGACTCGACAGAGAGACAATTAGAGAGTCGAAATACGACTCGGTAGAGAGACATATCAAATAGTGAAACACTACTCGGTAGAGAGGACATATCAGAAAGTTGAAACACGACTCGACATAAGTTGCACTGACTAGGTGAGCAATATACTCATCTTGAAAGTCGACGACAATGCTTCATGGATGAGGAAGCGACCTAACTAAGATGAATCTGGCTCAGATATCATGTGAAGAGTCTCAAGTTTCTTTGAAGAGACTCAGTGTCCATTAATTGATATGAATATATCAGACATGTCTTTTGTAGATAAATTACATATGAGACTAATAGAAACTAAATCATAGCTATCTAAACTATACCCAAACTTATCATAAAATACAGAACACAATATCCTATCCTTCTCATATTTACTGATTACAATATACACCTTCTATATTAACCGGATATACAACATATACTTTCCTTTCACAGTGCAAAGTACATTATGCTACTATAACATCACATATTGATAAGAGCGTTCTGATGTACAATGGCCCAGGAATTATACCTTACAAAGTGAGGAGCATGATAAAGTTGTACTTTCACTAGATTTTTTATTTTCACATCCACCTTTTCGGAAACCACAACCGTACCTCTCATGATGATTACTACAACGGTGTGGTTTCTATAAGGTTGCAACCTTAAACGATTCAATTAAGGCACACCTCCAAATTCTATCGCAACATGTAATTTTCGTGTAAAAACTTAGTATTATCTCAAAATCTATTTTTATATCTAAATATAAAATTTTAAATGCTAAAAAATAATTGAAATCAGGTAGATCTATAAACATGTGAACAACTTGAAAATGGACGGTGTAGATAATGTGTTGCAAAATGCATTATTTCAGGACTCAAATTTTTTTTTTCATATTCATACATCTCGATGGCAAGATGATCAATTAGAGGGGTTTTCAATAATTGAACTATCTTTTCCAATGAATTTTGAGGTACATCTTTAATTCTACATTTTAAGGTTGCACCCTTGTATAAAGTGTTTCCTTACTTAAAAACATGGGTGTAAATCTATTCCCTTTAGGTAATTTGAGGGATGTCGTTTGAATAACAATAATGTTTTGAAAAGAGGGTATCTCGTGAAATTGAGATAATACCAAAATTTTGGCCATTTCCTTATCCAAAAAACTCGAAATTTTCAAAAATAGATAGATGTGAGAAAGTACCGTATTGTCAGTAGCATAAAAGATGAGAGTGAGCTCTAAGTGGTTAAATGCTTGTATTTCCAAGAGTCTATAGCATGCTCCCACCGGATCATACAATATAATTACTCTTCTGGGTGAAATAGCCGCTCAAGAGGTTTTTTCGATATAAAATTTGGTGATACACCTTAGAATTTGGATACCTGTTTCTATAAAAGATTTGGATTTTGAGTTTGTTAAATACTTAGATTTGACAATTGAAAGTTATGATTTTTTTTTTAATATTTTTGGGTTACATTAAATAACAACTAGTGTTTATTTCATGTCTATGGATCTTGAGTTTATTTTCAAGATTGTATAAAATTACAAGACCGTCCATTTTCAAGATTTTTATATGTTTATCAATCTACTTGATTTGAACTATTTTTGGAGTTTAAAATTTTATAATTAGAGATGAAAATTGATTCTCAAGTCATCTTAAGAATTTTTTATATCAAAATTTGATTTATGATAAAATTCAGAGATACGCCTTAATTGGATTGTTTAAGGTTGCAACCTTATGCAAACCACACCCTTACATAAAGGAAAAAGTTTATATAAGGTTGCAACCTTCAAATGTAGAATTAAAGGTACACCTCAAAATTCCATCATAAAAGGTTGTTTGGATGTTGGAATACTCTCTAATTGATCATCTTGACATCGAGACATATGAATATGAAAAGAAAAAAAGATTTCAAATCCGCAAAATATTGTATCTTTGAACACATTATCTGGACCGTCTATTTTCAAGAGATGAAAATAGATTCTCAAAACATCTTAAGAATTTTTTATATCAAAATTAGATTTATGATAAATTTAGAGGTTCGCCTTAATTGGGTTGCTTAAGGTTGCAACCTTATCCAAACCACACCTTTACACAAAAGAAAAAGTTTTAAGGTTGCACCCTTAAAATGTAGAATTAAAGGTCCACCTCAAAAATTCATTTATACTCTCTAATTGATCAACTCGACATCGAGACGTATGAATATGAAAAGACAAAAAGATTTCGAATCCACAAAATAGTGTATTTTTTAATAGAAAAAAAGTAAATGGTCTCTTTACATACATTTTCTTTATAGGGTGAGATTTGTATAAGGTGTGAACCTTATACTATTTAAGTAAGGTGTACCTCAAGACTATGTCAAAACTGTAGTTTCTTAATGTAAAGCCTTGAGGCGATATGGAAATCTATTGTTGTCCCCCAATTATGAAATTTAAAGTCAAACACTTAGAAAATATTGAAAATAGATGGTCCATATAATGTGTTAGAAGATGAACCATTTTTAGGACTAGAAATCCCCTTTTTTTCATTTCTATGAATCTTGAGTTCGAGTTGATCAATTCGAAGGTTTATCGGCATAAAAACAATTTTTTTTTAGTGCATCTATTAGGTATACCTTACTTGTACTGTATAAGGTTGACACCTTATATAAACTTTTTCTTTTCTTATAATATACTTCAAGAATGAATAAGGGCATTCTCGTAGGGACCTTACCCACAAACAAAAGTAAAAGGACCCTTTGGCCGCCATTTCAAAATATAGGCATTTTTCGTTCTATAAATCTCATTACCCGCTCTACGTTTTGCCCTGGTTTTTCGTGCACGAGGTTGAAGCTTTCTTTAATGGAGAAGCGTTTGGGATTTTGAAAATTTACCCTTTTTTAGCAATTTCAGTCCTTTAAGGAACTCCCTTTTCAGCTATTAAAGCTCCAGCTAAGACCTCACCTCCTTATATTGAAGCCTCAACATTTCCTTTGCGATCATTTTGTGAAGGCCGTTTCCGCCATTAAAGAGCTTTATACAAACTAAGGTACAAAAACGCTCAAGTTAAACCTAAAACCAGTTGTCTTAATTGTATTTCTTATTTTATTTTTTTCTGCTTTTCTTTTTGTTTTATAATTTTTGGTGTATTTTCTTTATTGTTTGTCTCGTTTGTATTTTTTATTTACCATATTTGTTTCTCTTTGTATTTGTTCTTTTTGAGTTCTCCTGTTCCCTCTCCTCTGCGAAGGTTAACTCCGCCCCATTTATTTGTTATTTATTTTTTTTTGTGATTTCTTTTGTATGTTCAACCAGCCTAATGATTACTTTTTTTATTATTATTTTATTTAACATTCACTTTATTACCTTAAGGTATGGGCCTTTTTATTGCATTCGATTGCAGATTAAAAATCACTATTTAATTTTAAAATAGTGATTTAATATAAAAGTTTAGCTTTTATTTAGTCGTTATTATGTAAAATTACTATTTATGCATCTTGTTATTTTCCAAAAAATACATTCCCCACAAAAATATCTCCCCCAAAGTATTGTTCTTCAAATTTATGGTTGTATATCAAAGGTATAGGCTTGTTTGGTTTTAACCTAAAAGGTTTCGGCTTCTTCATGCATATGTGCCGTGTTTTCTCTCTCTCCCTCCTACGTGTAGGGAAAGTTTTTTTTTTTTTAATTTAAAAGGTATGGGCTTTTTCATTGGATATATCCTCGTTTACTTTCTTTCTCTTCTTCCTACATGCATGAAAAGACATAAATACGTGCCTCTTGCATTTATGAAAAGACATAAATATAAAAAAAAAAATTTTAATACCCAATGTGATGTCTATCTCTATATTTAATTTATTCTCTCTCCCTCCCTCCCATGTTTATCTCCCGCTCCCACTTTTCTCTCTCATTATGTAACTCATAACTCCCTCCTAAAATCTCTCTTATAACCTTATTTATCTCTCCTTAAATCTCTCTCAATATCTCCTTTCTTATCTCTCTTTAAGAAATTTTTTTTTATCTCTTACAGTCTCTGCTCTCTTATTCATCTATCCCAATCTTTATCTTCTTAAATCTCTCGCTCAATCTCTCCCTTCTTATCACACCTAAACTTATCCTATAAAGAATCTCTCTCTATCCTATCTATCACACCCAATCTATCCTATCTTATAAGGAAACTTTCAAGCAATCATATTTTCATCCTACAAGTTCATGTATTTAATGATCTCTCACAATCTTTTTCTCCGAGAAATACTTTTATAAAATAAGGTAGAAGGTACGCTCTGTCCCTATTTCTATATAATTCAAGTCAATTCAAGTTATAATGTGACTTTTTAATGGTAGAAAAGAAGTGGTTTGGGCTCACTCTTTATATATTCAAGTTATAATGTGATGTTTTAATCTTAGAAAAGAAGTGGTTTGGGCTCACTCACTCTTTATATGTTCAAGTTATAATGTGAATTTTTGATGGTAGAAAAGAAGTGGTTTGGGCTCACTCACTCTCTCTATATTCAAGTTATAATGTGTGATTTTTTAAAGGTAGAAAATAATTGGTTTGGTCTCATTCACTCTTTTTATATTAAAGCTTTTTAATATTAACAACAATTGTTCTGATTGTTTTTCCTTATATTATTGAATTATTTCCATTATTGTTTATTTAAATTGCTTATATAACTCATTAATCATGTCACTCTTTCTTCTAGAAAATAGATTATGCATTTTTATAATATTTTTAATTTTATTTTATAAGTTACTTACTCTTTCTTCTAGGAAATAGATTATGTATTTTTTATAATATTTTTAATTTTATTTTATAAGTTACTTTTATTAGGTAAGGCACATTTCTAAATAAAAATGAAACATGATTAATTTTTATTTTTTCATACTTTCACCATTTATATGTATTTTAATAATAAATTTTATATTTTTATGGCTATTTTAATATTAAATTACTTTTGTAATTACAATATTATATTTGTAATATTGTAATGAAAATATTTTTTAATGATAAATATGTTTTAGTATTAAATATTATGTGCAATGCACGTGCATATTACTAGTATGAATTAAAAAAACCTAATTCTACTATCTATATATAATGAAAATAATTTATTTAAAATTGCAACCTTAAAATATAGAATTAAAGATTCACCTCAAATATTAATAATCATCCCGTTTGGGTACCTGAAAAAAGCCTAGCCTAGAAATAGGCTTCTCTTGGAATTGGGTTATCCTCGAATTGGTCTATCCATAGGATAGGGTGTCTACTCTTTGGATAAGATAAGAAACATCATAAACATAGAATATGTCTGTCGAAGTTGCAAATCCATGGAAATTCATTTGCAGTTTTTATATTAGTACCCTATATTTAATATTATACATATTAACTTCTCCCATTGATTCCAAACTAAAATGAAATCCTTAATTTTTTGTATTGTTCCTTTCCATTATATCCTTAATATATAATTTATATTGCAATAATAATCAATATATAATAAATAAATAATATTTTATATAAATGATATATTATTTTACAATATACTATAGTATATAACATTAGAGGAAATATATAATATTATAGTATAATACATAAATATATTATACATATTATATAAATATATGCATATATAATATTATATAATGCATATAATATATTACAATAATACAATATAATATAAATATATAATAGTATATATTATATATAATATAATTTTTATTATATTATATATAATATAATTTTTATTATATTATATTTATTATATGTTTATATTTATTTTACTAATGTAGCTGTATTATACAATATATGATATTTATATACAACTATATGTTATATAATTAATATATATTATATAGATATATAATATACATATAATATACATTATATATAATCTATATATTATTTGTGTCATATATGATATAAAAATATTATATATTATATTATATAACGAAAGTACTTTCTCTTTAGGGGTGGAGAATATACATTAATAAAATAAATATAAAGTAATATATAAAATAAATATAAAATACATTATATTACATATTATATTATGGTATATATATAACATATTATATATTTATGTTATTAATGTATATATATGTTATTATATATAATATAAATATTTATTATATTATATGTAATATATACTTTAATATTTAAGTAAGATGTCTTTGTGATTCACGATCTCAATATTTCAAATTAACTTGAGTGAATTGTAAAATTTTGGATCCGATGTGGATTGGCCAATCCAAAAAACTGTGGATAGCCCCTATTCCACCTATTTTGGTGGAATAACATGATCCACATTTTTGTGGATTGGCCACTCTTCGGGATTCAGCTATCCAAACATGAATGTGTTGTTGGAAATATGGCCTATCAGGCCCTTTTATCCTTAAAATTTATTTTTCAATAATGGTACAAAAGTCATATTGTATAGTATATGTGAAATACCATGTATGTGGAATTTATTTTTCAATAATAGTACAAAAGCCATATTATATAGTATATGTGAAATCCCATGTATGTGGTTGACATGAGACAATGCCTTATACTAGGATCCATTTTGGAATTTGTATAGGATGTTGCATTGGAAGGAAAACCCAGTGATATGTTTAGATTCTTTGTAAGAATTGTATTTTGTATCATAGATTATAAAATTATTTATTTTCTAAATATCTTTTATCAAATTGTAGGAATACTTAGATGACATCCTATTATGTTAGTCATTAGTACATTAATGACAGATTTAGCTCATTATATAGGATTAACAGTTTGGTGACAACTTGTTAATCATAATTGGCCTTACTTAAGAAAATTAAGGCAAGAGTTATAGTTGAATCTCAATTCCTATAGACCATGAATATAAGAGTTACAAAAGACAGTTCTCTATAAAAAGAGGATATCCCATCAAGTAATAGATAGAGAATGATGAAAATTGGTAAAAGAGATTTCACTAAGTGGACTCTCAAGGTAGTCTGTCACCGGATGGGTTTTGATATGAAACCTTAAATCCCTCGTGTGATTTAAAGACAGATCCAAGTAAGTAATTTATCTTTTTTATTTATTTATTTTCATTATAGGGACTAACATGTTTTACTCAAACAAGAGATAAGGGCTCAATACCTAGATAGCCTTATTTTGGAGAGTTCAATCCAGGTACTCAAACACGCCCTTAAGTTTCTAAGATGTCAATTTTTTTATATTGTTTGATACCCAATTACATTGTATAAAGAAAGTCATATATATCCTTTCTATTTTTTTTGGCATATATACCAATATTATTATTAATTTTAATTGCAAAAGATATATGATTATCATGGGTTGTTTATTACACCTATTATGTGACATATTTTTGCATTTTTATTTTTCTAATTTTTTAGAATATTATTTACTTATAAATAAATCATTTGTTTGAAAATATTATTTTAAATTAATTTTAAGTATTTTAAAAAATAGTATAATTAAAAATTAGAAAAAAAAAGATAAAGCATAAAAGTAATTAACCAAAAATACAAAAAAAATAAAAAAGATAATTCCTTCTATGTCTTTCTTTTTTGCATTTTCAGCTTTCCAATTATAATACAATACTAATACAAGTAAAAAATAATTTCATTTACATTAGTGAATGATATAATGGAATATATATAAAAGATAAAACATGATAATAATTAATCGTAAATGCAACTTAGAGATGTAAATAATGTAATTGAAATTATTTTTAAAAAATAAATACCTCAATATGCAAGTCATGAATTGAACTATAATCATATTTTAGTAGGGTGCAGTTTATATAGAGCCTAGGCTCTGAACAATCAAATTAGAGCCTACCTTCAAATAGAGCTAAGAAATGTGGTTTCAATACTGGAAATCTTTGTGATAGCCTTAAAATATATTTTTATATTTATTTATAAAGTTTAAAGCTTCAAAAATAGCGTAGAGTGACAGATCTATGAATACTTGAAAATATTGAAAATATTGAAAATTGACAGTCCAAAAATGCATTACAAAATATACTATTTTTAAAACTTGAAATCCATTTTTTCCTCATATCCATGCATCTTGATGTCGAGATGATCAATTTGAAGATATTTGGGCATTAGAACAACCTCTTCTAGTGAAGGTTTTGAGGTAGGCTCAAATTTGATTGTTCAAAGCTGGCTCTAAACAATCAAATTGGAGCCTATCACAAAAATTTCACTAGAAGAGGTTGTTTTGATGTCCAAATATCCTCAAATTGATCATCTCGACATCAAGATGCATGGACATGAGAAAAAATTGGATTTCAAGTTTTGGAAATAGTATATTTTGTAACGCATTTTTGGATTGTCAATTTTCAAAATTTTCGAGTTTCAATAGATATGTCGATTTACACTAGAAGTCAAATTTCTTGATACTATTTGAAGGTAGGCTCTAATTTGATTGTTTACAAACTGCACCCTTTAGTTTATGTGATATGTTTTTTGAAATTTTATTTTTCTAATTCTTTAGAGTAATATTTACTTACAAGTAAATAAAATTAATTTTAAAGTAAGTTTAGAATAATATAATTAAAATATAAAAATTGTTAACCACATGTGAAGATGGATCCAACAAATTCTTTCTCATTCTACCACTCTTTTTAATCGAATACGCCAGTTTAAGAGTGAGACTTCATTTCGGTGATCGATACTTGCATTTCACTAGTCGTTTTAGCCAAAATTTGATTTAATTTTGGTATTGTGGTGAATCGAGATATTGTTATTCCCTTACTGGCTATGGTTGGTTTATATATATAAATAAAAGATTGAACTCTTGGGAAATTCGACTTCCTATTATAGCGAACTATTGAGAAAGATCAACCTATTATCCGTTGAGCGAAAACCCTTCAACTAGGCACCATCAGATAAGGTGGCTATTGCAGTGCAATCGAGCTACGACCCCTTCAACTAGGCAATGTCGGATAAGGTTGGGTCTTGTCTTCGCTCCACTGCCGGATGAGCTGTGGAGCGACGACCCTTCAACTAGGAACCGTCGGATAAGGTGGAGGTGGGTCTTGCAGTCGAGCGACAACCCTTTAATTAGGCACCGTCAGGTTGGGTCTTGCAGTCAAGCTCCCTGCCTTTACACTCGGGGGGCCAAAATCCGTCTAGCCTGAGGAAACCTTGGATAAAAAGAGAAAATATGCCTAGAGACCTTTGCACTCGAGTACTAATCTCGGGCAGGCCCGAGAGAGACCTAGACTAGAGGAAACCTATGCAGTCGAGCGACAGCCCGTCAACTAGGCACCGTTGGATTGGATCTTGAAACCTTGGATAAAAAGAAAAGATATGCCTAGAGACCTTTGTACTCGAGCCCCAATCTAGGGCCGGGCTGAGAGAGACCCAAACCGAAGGAAACCTTCCTTTGATGCAGTCGAGCAACAACCCTTTAACTAGGCACTGAAACCTTGGATAAAAAGAGAAAATTGGGTCTTCCAATCAAGTTCCCCCACATTGGGTCTTCCCCTCACCTTTGTACTCGGGGGCCCATCTCCATTTAGCCCGAGGAAACCTCCGTTCGGTATGGCCCACATGTTTTACGTAAATAACTTTTTACTTAAACATTCTCAAATCTTGGTTCTAATCTCCCACGTATTTAAAGTACTAGATCTACACATGCAAACGTAAATAACTTTTGACTTATTCTTGTGTCCAATTTAACGTTATCCTAATTATTATACACATTCTTTTTCACTGTTAACCTCTATTCATTCAAATTTAACTTTATCCTAATTATTATACACATTCTTTAACGTTATCCTAATTATTATACACATTTTTTTCACTGTTTACCTCTATTCATTCAAATGCTTTAATAATACAAATGCCTTTTACTTTTTTTTTGGTGTCCCCATTAATTTTCCTTTTGTTGTTAACCTTTAGCTAAAAATTGGTAACGTTTCTAATCATTTATTTATTATTTTGGCTAACTCTTTTTTTGGATAACTCCATTAATCTCTCCGTCCATTTTTAGTACTTATATAGTCTTATTTGGCAGGTTTACCCATAGAGAAAGACCAAGAAGCTTGCTTTATTTTTGCAAGAGCGGAAAAACATGCTACAAAAGTAAAGGTTGGCTTTTGCTTTGGCGAACTGTAAAGAAAAAGGATTGAGCTTCCATATATTGAGGGACTTAAAGAAGTTTTTTCAGCGTTGATGATATGAATGTCTCTTGGAACCCTCATCTTGAGTTATTCAACTTCAATGAGGCAGACATGAATGTCTCTCGGAACCCTCATCTTGAGTTATTCAACTCCAATGAGGCAACTGTCTTTTCCAGATACAACTCAAGCCCTCAGAACTTTGTAAAAGTTGATGACTTCTTCAACTTCAATGAGGCATCTAGTGATTCTACCAATTCCAAATACAACTCAGATGAGTTGTTCAACTTCAATGAGGCATCTCGTGATTCCACCAAGACAATAGTGAGTTTCTTAATCTTTGTTTTTGATTTTTGGTAAAAGTGTTTTTTCTCTTAATGACGCACCATATATTTCACATAGAGGTTTATTTTCTTATATCATATAGAGGTTTAAGAGTTAATTAATTTTGCTTATATAACTATGTAAATTATTCTCTTTTGTTAGATTGGTATTTTTCCGGCCCAAATTTGCTCTGATATCTTCCTCAACGACAATTTACTCATCAAAACATACTTAGATACTGAGATTTACAACAGTGAAATTGATAAGGTTAGTCCTTTGCTTAGATATCGTTCTTTTCCAACTTATGCTAAAAGCTTTCAATGCCCTCGATAAAGCAGAATTAACCTCAGCTTAGATATTGTGAAAAGGAAAGTATATATTATCTACCTGATTAATATGGAATGTATACATTGTAATTAATATATATTGGAAGGATATCTTGTATTTTATGATAAGTCTGGGTCTAAAATAGGCAGTGTTTCAAAAAGCATAGGAGGCACCGAGGTGGCCATGGGTCCAGGCCACCCGCCTAGGCAGGCGCCGGAACCTGGGCGGCCCAATTGAAAAAATAAATAAATAAATAAATAAAAACTAATGACTAATAATGATTAATCCATAAGAATTTTGATAATCCATAAAACTATGATCGCAGTTTAAAAAAAAGAAGATAGAAGACAGGAAGAGAATTTTGAATTTTTGATAATTCATATTTTCATACAATGCTAAAACAGTAAAACTATATACACTGATAGTCTTATACACTGCAGATTGTACACGAAAAAAATTAGATAGTAGAACTAGTAATTAGAAAGTAGAAACGAAAAATAAGAAATTCAAAAATATATAGAAATTCAAAAAATATACAGTCTGCGAGACTATGATACATTAGTCAACACTCAACACACAGTCAACACTAAACACTAAGAGTCTTCAGTCATCCTCATCATCAGAAGGAATCAGGTAAGCTTCATCATATGCATCATAATCAAGACCATCATCATTAGAGTCATCTTCATCTTCAATATAACACTCGTCCTCCTCTGTTTCTTTTAAATATGCATCTTCATCCTCCTCTTCTTCTACCTCCTTTTTACTAGTATGTGCAGATGAGGCCTTAAGAGTCTTGGCTGCTCTACCACTTTCTATCTTTTTGTGCTTCCCTGAATTCAAATATTGTATAATTTCTTTCCTGATAACGTCAAGAACATTTTTACACCGAGCAACATCCCCCTTAATACCGGCAAGGTGTTTTTTAAACCGGTAAATACCCCCATTACTATCATTTCTATAATAATTACATTTAATGTAATTTTTGTCATTCGGATTTGGGTTATAACCATAGTCCCAACCCGGATCACCGCTTCTAAAAGAACTTGGAGAAGATATTTCTATAGAACATGGCTCATTTTCATCATTTTCTGGTTCTTTAAAATTCAGAAGTTGTCTAATCTCATCCCAAATATCTTCAGGAACCTTTTTACAAGAAGCAACATTCCCTTTAATACCAGCAAAGTATTTCTTGAATCCGTTAATACCCCTATTGGTATTTTTTTCACAAAAATTACACCCTATACAACTTTTATCATTTGGTTTTGGGTTATAACCATACTTCCAACCCGGATTACTTCTTCTAAAAGTAGCAGAAATATATCTATTCAAATAACAAGGATTTTGTTCTTGTTTTTATTTTTCAAAACTCATATATGTCTTAATCTCCTCTCTGATAATTTCAAGAACATTTTTACAAGGGGCAACATTTCCCTTATTACCGGCAAGATGTTTCTTAAACAGGTTTATGCCACATTTTGTATCTTTTTTACAAAAATTGCACCTAATGCAATTTTTGTCATTTGGATTTGGGTTGTATCCATATTTCAAACCCGCATCTCTACTTTAACTAGATCCTGAAGAAGACATTTAAAAAAAAAAAAGGAAATCTAAAAAACACCCACTAATAGGATTATAAGACTCCAAAACGAAATCAAATCTACCTAGGTGATGTTTGGATCCATTTTCCGTAACTTTATGAAACACTTAGATCCAACTTCGATCCAATAAAAGTCAGAAAATGATATTTTCTTGAGGTTTCTTTCTCTCTAAAATAGGCTCTTGTGGGTTTAGGTTTCAAATGAACCTAAAACCCATCCTTTGAAACCCTTTATATTTTTAAAAAAATCAATAGGAAAAAAAAAAAAAAAGTTCCCCCCATAGATGGGGCGCAGGCCTGCTTCTTGGGCGGCCACCTAGGCGGCGGGTTCCGTATCGCCTAGGCGGCCGCCCACCGAGGGACTGCCACCTCGTTTGGTCGCCTAGGCCTAAGTGATGCGCCCAAGCCTTCTAGGATGCCTAGGTGCTAGCCTGGGCGGTCCGCTTTTTTGAACATTGAATATAGGTATATGTGATTCCCTTAGGCTTAGTCTAAGGAATAGAGGTCAAAACAAGGAACCAAATCAAAAGAGGAAATTGCCTTATTAGTTTTAGTCTTAAGCTTCCCTAACCAGTATTTCAGTATTATTGAGATAGAACGTACCACACCACCATTCGACTGACCTCCATACACACTAAAAGAAATCATATTGATACAATAGATGACATAGGCTATCACCACCCTTTCTGCATAAAAGACAAATATCGATATAATAGATGACATAGGCTATCATCACCCTTTCTACGAAAAAGGACAAAAAGATACTAAAGAAATTCCATACTTTATATGGAAAGCACAAAAAGATACCGTGGAAATACCATGATGCAGCAATATATTACCATATCTTGTATTTTATGGTTAGTTTGGGTCTAACTTTTCAATGATATCATTCTTTTCCAACTTATGTTATTCTCGTTTTACAAAATTATGTTATTCTCGTTATACAAACTTATGTTATTCTCGTTTTACAAAATTATGTTATTCTCGTTATACAAACTTATGTTATTCTCGTTTTACAAAATTATGTTATTCTCGTTATACAAACTTATGTTATTCTTTTCCAACTTATGTTATTCTCGTTATACAAACTTATGTTATTCTTTTCCAACTTATGTTATTCTCGTTATACAGACTTATGTTATTCTCGTTATTCTCGTTATATAGACTTACGTTATTCTGGTTATACATATTCTAGTATTTGTAAAACATTGTTTAGGTTAACAGTTGCACAAAAAAGAGGATAATTAATGGTTTTTTTTTCTCAACTTTTGTAGTTGCAAAATTTATCTTATGGTTAATATTAAATGATTATATTCAAAGGCGTGCTCTTCTTTTAGTTATTCAAGCGAGATAGATATAGCAACATGTGTTCTCCCATTTTTTATTAGGAAAAAAAGACGAAAAAACGACCTATAATTAGGGGACATGGTTATAACAACAAGTCTTATTTTTTTTTAGGATAAGCCATTATTAGAATGTTTTTGAGAAAATATAAGATGAATAATTATTAGAATGTTATGAGAAAATATAGGATAAGCAATAATTAGAATGTTAAGAGAAAATATAGAATAAGCATTACGAGAAAATATAGAATACGCAATTATTAGAATGTTAAGAGAAAATATAGGATAAGCAATTATTATAATGTTACAAAAAATATAGGAAAAAACATGCAAAATAAAAACTTCCTAATTGGGGGATTAGAAGACTTCCTGATTAGGGGATTAGGAAAATGAATGGGTAAAGACATTCCATTCAAACCATGCAAGAAAAAGGGTAAGCCTTTCTTTAATGGTTATAAATATATCCCAAGAGAATGGGTAACTTGAAGCGCCAACCATAAAACTTCCTTATAATCGTTGAGGAATAAATTTCTTGAAAATATATCTCTTAAAATAGGTGACTCCAAGTCCTTACTATAGACCTTCCCTTTTTTTCTCTAAATTTTTTTTTTTAGTGGAGTGACATGTCAAATTTAAATTAGACAAGAAAAAAAAAATACTCGCGAAGATTTGTATAAGGTGCCCCTCTTATACCATTCTATGGCTTGAAAGTCCATGCTTAACCCTAATTATAGAATTTAAAATTTTAGAACTGGTGCAATTTGAGGAGATTTGTAAAAAATTAAAAATCTTAACAATGTACGGTCCAGATAACTTGTTACAAAAATGTTTTTTTGAGATTTTTTTTTTTATAGGGTATCATGAGAGAGGTACAGAAAAGGATATGAACATGATGAATAGTGACTAGTATGCATATACACTGATAATTAAAGCCATAAGTTATTAAATATATAATATTTAAATTCTAAAATATGTAAATAGAAAATTTATGTGTGAACCAAAAAACAAATATGGAAGAAATTTTCCCAATTTTACACGCATGCCCCATTTCTAGTGATTTTTCTAATCTAGTTTTAACCCCAACTAGATGTTAGCAATATCGATATATATATATATATATATATATATATATATATATAG